CCCCGACCGAGGTCAAGGCATGTTGGCCGTCACGTGAGAGTGACGTAGCCATGTGCATAGTGCGGAAGCGATAAAGATAGAAAATATACAAATAATTAAAAACCAGATTATTCGAGTGCACTACTAAACAGAAAGTGATAGGAGTTAATTACAACAGTAAACACTTCTAATTTAGAGCATAAAGTCTAGGTGCAGTCCAGTAGGACAAGTACTAGTTACACAGTACCAGGAATGTCCTACTATTAATCAAATAGGTCAAAAGTGTCGAAGATCCATAGCCACCAACATCAATCTTACTTAGAACCTGGAATGGCGCAAAACAAAAAATGTGAGTGGGCAAAAACAATTGTTTTACAAAATCATTTCATTTATCAACATAACTAACCCCTCGCTGTAAAACATGTATAATTTCCCAAAATCAAGATATAAGCATATACATATACATATATATATATATATATATGAAATCATATCAATTCAATTCATGCTTCACATAATCATATTCATATGTAAGCCATGCCAAAATATAACAAAGTAAACAATTCAGGTAAGAATGATTTTATGGAAATATGAAACGTTAGCCGGAACTCCTGTGGTAGTCTGTACGGCTGAATTCATAGCTCAAACTCAATCTAACCAGAGTCACTACTATGACCTATACGGCAATATACTGCACATAAGTCGGAACCATTGAAAAGGGTCTGTACGACAAGGTTAGGTGTAATATAATTATGCTCAATTTTACTCTCTTAATGCTAGCTGTGCGATAATACGTTAGTCACCTACGAGTCAGAACCATCTATAGTGGTCTGTATGACAAGACTGTGCACCTATTTGGATCCAATGTGAGCATATGATGCGGGAGGTGACATAATATACAGGCATGTGCCAGCTCTCTCTCTTGCTAAATCGCAATCACCCTGGTGCAGGTTATGAGCTCAATGTTCATCAATGCATTTATAACCATTCTATTCACAACTAAGGCCTTTGTCTCAATTATTGTATGACTGCATCTAATGTTTCGTTAAACTGTCTACATACCCTGAATAGGGATCAAGTCATTCGTAGTTTACATACTCAAAGATAGCTTACCTGAACTTACCTGTGCCTCCACAGCACCACATTTATATATATAAGCAACCATTAAAAGCATAACCAAAATATAAAGGCATTTGGCATGGAAATTCAAGGCATACTTTCATTTAAATGCATTTCTGGGATATATCAAGTATATAAATAACCCATTTTCCTTACTTCCAATTGGTTCCAAAATAATAAGAACTTAACACATTGGTCCTCAACCACACATAGTCCCACAATGCCACAAACACTCAAGGGCATTTTAGTCTTTTCACATCAACGATAACAAAATAATGTACATTTCCGGGACGGGCTGTGAATCATCACCATAGGGGGTACAATCAAAAGTTTAGACTAATCAATCTTCATGAGTCTATCTGAAATAAATTAAAGAACATCATTGAAAATGCATTAAAAAGCTGAAAAATATGCTGTAAAAAGGCATCCAGCTCTGTATTTACTTGCAAAGCTTCAAAGAAGAGGCCTGTTATATTTTGGCACTTGGGTAATCAACTCGTTACATCATTGTTCACTTGCCTAGAAAAAAAGAACAGAAATGAAATAAATTGCAATATATTTGGAATACTGGTAAATAAAACGTAATTTTCAAATTAGATTCAAGTTAATTGCAATGCCAATCATTTTCAAGTAAGCTTTGGCAATATTAGGGTGTGCCATAAATAGGAAAAGAAAAAACAGTGAACAACAAAATGTAAGTCGTAAGCTACAAAAGATTTATACCTTGACTAACCAAATGAATAGAGAGTGAAAACATCTAAAATCCTATTAATTAAGTACAATTAAAACGGGGAAGGAGAAATGAAATAGATTTGCAACTGATGGTTGTGCAACAGAGTTGGAGAGAAAGTATAGAAGGACATGCAATACAATGGTCTACAACTGATCAATCATGTAAAAAAACTGTCTAAAAATTGTAATTACATTTAGTTGTTGAAAAGCTGTAAAGGGAAAAGCTTAAATTTGTCACCTTCAGTATAGATAGTTTGTAAGGATGCGGATGCAATTGAGAAAAACAAAGGGGCAGGGTTATCTGAAACAGAAAACAAAATCTAATTAAACGCCTACATGGAGATGCGTTTTTCAGATGCAGGAAAAACAAAGGACAAATGTACTCCCAGGCATGTAACTTACAGATATTTGTCAGCTTCGGTGTAGATAGGTTGCAAGGATGCGGATACAACTGGGAAAAACAAAATGGCAGGGTAATCTGAAACAGAAAACAAAATGTAATAGTATACCTACCTAGAGATACATTTTTCAGATGCAGGAAAAACAAAGGACAAATGAATTCTCAGGCATTTAATTCAAAGAATAAACAAAAATTTTAAACTTAAGTACAAAATAAAATTGAAAAGTGAGAATTTGAAAGTAAGGATAAAGCATGAGCACCTAGGCATTGTTATCTGGACTTTTATCGCCAAAGTTCATATAATCTTCCACAATTTTTACTAAAAAAGATAAATAGGAAAAGGAAAATAAATAGAACTTAAGCACAACACACTATTCACTAAACACCAAACTTGTAAATAAACAAAAAATATACATACATATATATATATATATATATATATATATAATAAAAACATACCGATTCTATTTTTCTGAAAAAATGCTTGACCCTTATTTATAAGATTATGATTCTCGTCGTCAACATACTATTCACTAAACACCAAACTTGTAAATAAACAAAAAATATACATATATATATATGATAAAAACATACCAATTCTATTTTTCTGAAAAAATGCTTGACCTTTATTTATAAGATTATGATTCTCGTCATCAAATATTTTTTCAACTGTGTTATCAAGATTATTTGATAAAACTTACAACTTGTTTCCTCTTTTGATCAGAGCCATGAACCATTTTTTTCAATATGTGTAATGTGATGTGCTTTATCATAATTGACATCTTTGATAGCATATTGCATAACAGTTGATCTGCTAGGACTGCACTGATGTTTAAACCGTGAAGTTCAATAAAGAAATGTATCAGTTTCAGACGAAACAGTACTTTGACAATTTTCGATATAACTGCTTCTATAAACTTTTTTGGCTAGTGACCATATTTGACTAAGAGATTATATTGAGTGTCACTATTGTTTTGTTTTTGCTTTATACCATCATTTGTTGATGCATTTGTAGATCTTTTAGGCATATTGAAAAGAAATTGTTATAGCCAATTCAAAAACACACAGCTGCAAAAAGATTGGAAAAAAGGAAAAAAAAATTAACAAAAACATAACACAGATACTAAAACAAATAACATTAAATGTAAAGAAAGCACCAAAATCCAAAATTTAATTCAAATATAATTAAACCTAAAAAGAATATGAAACTTTATTCAAATTGTAAAAAATAAGACCAAAGCAGATACTAAAAATTTGAACTTAACAATTCCAGTAGTTTAAATCACTTACCTTTAGCGTAGACAGCCATGCAACACAAATACAACTAGGTTAAAATCCAAAAATGCCGCGTTGTCAAACTCTACGAAAAATTAACATAAATATTATTCAGCAACAAATTCATTGACATGTGAAGTAACAAAAATGGACAACCATCAACAAACATGTTTTCACCTCTGTTTCTAATTCTAACCAAAAAAAAGGAAGAAAAAAAAAGTTTCAAGCACATCAGCTCATGGAGGATATACGATATGATCTAACTAATTTATATTGCTTCACATAAATAAAACACACCAAAAATGACATAAATGAAAATATAATCTTAACGTGCTTTTATGTGCCAGAAAATTTTCATGGACCATACAAATAGCAGCATATATATGTGTGTGTGTGTAAATAATTATCAATATGATTAATGATGATTTGTAAATTCTAAATTTGTCACTGCTTGGTGGCTTGACTCACCGTTGTTTTTTTCTATTTCAGCAAGAGCACTTTGTAGCTTATATAAACTACTTTGGTAATAATCTGCAATAGAAAATGTAGTTACAAATCAGATACACAAAACACCTTATTTTCTTTTTCTTTTTTTATTTTTGCATTCAAACCATTGCATAACTGAGAAAGCTGTATTTCTAAGAAAGATTAAAACTTTTTTACAAAGCACACTTACTTTAAAACCTCACATTAATAAACACTGGAACTTTTTGTTACAATTTTGTTTCTTTAAGTTGTTCAAAGTTAATTTCCTCTCTCTCTTTTTCAAGCTTGACAAAATTATCAAAACACAAACAACAACACTCAACCCTATAACCGATCATATAAATCTGAACCCAGTATATCTATTTAGCGACACAATTTGCCTCCCTCTATTCTTCCCCCTCTTTAACCATATAAAAACTCATTCGTCTCACTAAATAAAAACCTCAAATTTGTTTTTTCAAACCTGCAACAACATCACTAAAAACACCAACAACAACAACAACAAAGCATTTTCCCACTAAGTGGGGTCGGCTATATGATAGGGTGAGATGACAAATTGGTTAAAATTTTAGTTTATATGACAAATTGAAAAATGTGTACAAGTTCATATGATATTTCAAAAAAAAAATTCCTATATTTAATGGGAGATGCAAAATGTCTTGAAATGTGTATTTTACATTTTTGGTTGGTCAGAAAACTTTTCAATGGAGAAATGTAAAATATCTTGATCGGAAAATGTAAATAAAAACCTAAATTTACAACTTCTTTACATCCGTCGACGGTGGATCCCACCAATCAAAGATTAAAAATTAAAAAGGATCTCAAACTCACATCTCTCCTGTTACATCTCTTGAAAATAAAATGAGATACAAATATAATGGGCACCCCCTTTGTTATCACCAAGGATTTATGGGGCACTGATACCGTTTAGCCCATAACGCCAAGCCCAAGGCCCAATATTAACTCAAATTGGATTTCTTCTTTATTTTGGATCACCAACAGGTCTTCCATGACCCGATAATTTCAGAGTTAGCATCGTCCCCTTCCGTTCTTGGAGTAGGTTAAAAGCCTTAAACCATAACCCAAGGCGCCACAAAAACGGATTGGAATCCGATGTCGAACGGAGAAGATTACGACTCGGACACGCCGGAGGAGCTCACGGCCGAGCAGGTAATCCAAGTCTCTGAAGAGAATTCAAAGTTCAATAATTTTTTTTTTCCGACTGTAAAGTTCTGAACTTTGTTCGGACGTTGTTGATGGTTACAGGGAGTTCAACAAGACCAAGAACTTAGCAAGCTCCAGAAAGAGCATAGTTCCAGGTGGGTTTTACTTGTTTACCTTGTTCTCTTTTGCTAAACAATGTTTAATGTTTTTATTTTTTAAAGTTTCGGTTTGTTGCTTTATAAATGTTGGAAATTGAATTCATTGATTGAGATGGGCTGGGCTGAGTTTCTTATGAAAATTTCAGGAAACTCAGAATTCTGTTTAGGATTCTTTATATGAGAGGGGATCGGAGAATCGGTTCGTCTAATTTTGTTTGATTTTTTATTCGCTTTGGTTGATTACGATGTGAAATTATGTTTCTTTTTCTTATTCTTCGTGGTAAAGTGGTATGCCTGAAATCGTGTTCGTGAAGGGAATAGATAAACGAATTTATGGGATCACATTGAAGTTGTGTGGTTGAATCCATATCTGATAGTTTTCTTGTATAAGAAGTTAAAATGGTTGCTTCGTTGCATTATCACATGATTACTGTGTTTATATGTGATCAGCTGTGATTGACTGGAAGTAACATTGTGGAATCTGTTTGCGTTGTTCGGGAATTGGTGCCAGCCTGAAAATGTTCTAACATATATGTCAGAGTAGACAAGTTTTATGCCCGTATATTGTTGATATGAGTTCCTAAAGGTCGTTTAAGAAGTATTACTCGATTATGGATTTTCTTCCTTTTCTCTTTTTTTGGGGTAGAGGTCGCACTTGGTGCGATGGCAAGTGCCTTCGCCCATGAGCGGTAGGTCTCGGGTTCGAGACTTGGGAGCAGCCTCTTCATAAATGGGGGTAAGGCTAGCCAACATTCACCTCTCCCAGACCCTGCGTAAAGCGGGAGCCTTGTGCACTGGGTACGACCTTTTTTTCTCTTTTTTTGGGGTGAAGCACCAATTTGTGAAAAAACTTGGTGGTGTAGATGATGGTATCTACATTTTGCATATACTTGCCTCACAAATAAATTTTAAAGGGAAAAGATATTACTTTATATAGGGTGGTTCGTGAAGCAAAAGAACGTCGTAGACAATGGACCCAAAAGAAAACACAAAAGCCATTTGCTGAAGTTGAAAGTGTTCAAGATACCTCTGAACCTAAAGCAAACCAAGAATCTTTGGGTAATGGAGGGATGCTTCCAAGCAACATTGTTGAGCTGCTTGCATCTCGTGAGAAGTATGAGCCCTCTCTCTTTCTCTCTCTCTTCTCTCTTCTCTTTGTGTGTGGATGCTGATCTTTAGTTACGAGATTGTAATCGAATGGCCACATTCCATGTGCAGGCAAAAGTTCCTCTCCGACTCTGAGGATGAGAAGACCGACTCAAAGTCCACTAAGAAAAAGAAAAAACTAAAATGCTCAGGGTGAGTGTCCTCTTCTATACAGCGAAAGATACATGTAATGCCAATCCGTTACGAATCAATGTGATCTCTAACAAGCGAAAATTGTGAATTGCAGGGTGGATGCTATTTTATTGAAGGAGACACCTGCCCCTCAATGCTTACAGAATTCCTTAGCGTTCTTGGAGAAAAGGAGAATGCAGGTACCTAGATCATCTGCAGTGTTGAACAACTCCGACCAAACATTACGCCTCCTCTCTTCGTCAGGCCTGTTAAGTAGACAGTGACGAACTAAAATGTCAGCATTTTTCACCCTTGATGTATCCTATTATATTGTATGATGCTACGCTGCCATACATCGTACTTGGCTCCCCGAGGAGGACTTGCCTACGAATGATGAACAAATGGGGAGGGATCTGTCCCGTGGCTTTTGACCGTTGAACTTATAGATTCTGCAGTTGTGTTGTAACACACATTGTTCTTCATCATATTTAACTGTATTTTTCTTACAATTTTGTTATATCGATAAAAGAATGAGTTTTTCGATCTCTTGTGCCCTGGTCCTTCTTTTATCTTTTGAAAAGCTTGTCCATTAATTTCAGAATATCGATAGAAGTATGAAGTTCGAATCACATCACCATTCTTAAAAAAACGTAGTTTGAGCACTATTTTTTTGACTTTATGATCATACAAGCCTTTTCGTTTTTCCTTTTAGCATTGGGAGAAGTTATTAGCATTCTACAAAGACAAATACAAATAATACTTTCTCAAAAGTTGAACTATTTATGGACAGTTTGTCACTTCATTGTTTTTTGGCATAATATTTTATAATGTTGACATGAAAATTGACATAAAACTCTGAGGTGTTAGAAAGTTTATAGAGAGTTCCACTTCAAGATAGTCCCGTTAACATTTCTCCTAAAAAGGTCATTGTGCATTCACACTCTTAATAAGTGTACCTTTTGTTTTTCTTCGAACAAACAATATTATCTATACTACAGAAGATGAGGGTGGGCTGACCACACAATGGGCTAACAACAATGTGGTTCAAATTCACATTTGTCGAGAATCAAACCTAAGACCTCTCACTTACAAGTGAAGAAGAATTCCACTAGACTGTAGTATTGTCACATACTTTTTGTTTTAAATATAATCCAGCCACTAATCCAGCCAACTTCGTTTAACACATATGTCGTTTATTGTATGGGGTGTGCTACACACCCCATTTTACTTTTCACACATTTTTGATAATTTTTGTTTGTTAATCTTTTTCAATTCATTCGATCCGACAATCCAAAATTAGAAAAAATGTTTGAGAAATAAAATGAGATGCGTGTCGTATTATTGTTTCCATTAACTGGTTGCAAAGTGAAAGCATAAAGCTGTTGCCCCATTTACCAAAAATAAATTAAAAAGAAAAGTCTTGTCCCCACTTTTCCTTCATCAGATTAGATCGTTTTGTTTTATGCCCTGGATTTATGCAGAAAGTAAAACCACCATTCAGGTCCCATGGAGTCACTCAGTGATCTGTTTGCTTCCTCAACATCATATCAAAATATGTGTAAAGCTTTGATCAGAGAATTGAAATTTTAAGATGGGTTGAAAGCATGAAATGCTACAAGCCATAGATTATGAGAAAAGCTGCTTAATACAGAACTGCTTCTCATCTAAGGGGAGGAGAAAGAGTCCTCCTGGTGCAGCCATGTTTCATGATGGATGTTAGAAGTAGGAGTCATAGGGCTAGTAGCTGGTTCTGGAGAGCTGCTGCTTCCCATGAAAGCTTGAAAAGCACTTTTGACCTTGCTCAAGTGCTTATGGTGGTGAATGCGTCTGAGAACAACATCTCTGTCCAGGGAAGCTGCAGCGGGTGATTTCAGGTACACGTGGCTTGTGATGGAGCTCTGTGACTCGGGAGAAACTTCATGGCCATCTTTGATCTTCCCAGAAGTAGCTTCTGAGAAAGATGACGGTTGTTGCTGTTGAGCTTTGGAAATTATGAAAGCCATTTTCTTTGGGGGAGAGTTAAAAGGGTTTGGTGAAGGATGTAGGAATTGAGAGCTTTCGACTTTTGGCTTCTGGCTTATGGCGCTTGGTTTTATAGGAGAATGTTATTGGTGACCTTTGGAGTTACTTATTAATGCAGTTTTGTTGTTTTGTTCTAGCTAGTAAGTGGTTTTTTGGGTTTCAAGGTTCGCTATGGCCTGTGGTTTTTCTTAAAGCATGTACATTTGATCCAACGGCCAGCAATTCCATTTGATTTATTTTTCTTCTTTTTTTCTTCATTTTTGTATTAGTTTTCAAAAGGTGGAGTATACAGCATTGATCTTCTTACCCCCCCCCCCCAAACAATAGAAGAAGTATAATTTAAGGGAATTGTTATTAGCACTCTAAAAATCTTATTTTACACTCCAAACTTTCTATATTAGGAAAGAAAAATACACTTATGAGGAGTGTAGAATGAAATTTTTGAAGTGCCAATAACACTTTCCTAATTTAAAGAATATTTAGTTTTGGGAAAATACTCTTTACTATTGGAAGTATAATTTAAAGAAGGTTTAGTTTTTTTTTTTTTTTTTTGCAAGTGGCCTTTTACCACAGTGGTGGAAAGATGTTGAGCCCTTACATGAGTACGTGAGTTCAAAACCTATCAATGAATAATCTAACTTCTAATCTATCTATCATTTGACCCCAAAAAAAAAAATTAGTTTTGGGAAAATACTCTTTACTATTATTGTTTAAAGCAAATATATATATATTTTTTTAAAAGGGAATCAACTGATGCCTGATGGCGTCGCCAAGGCAGTCCATCATTTCGAGGGCCGGGAAGACTCATAGAAGCATTTCAGCCTCCTTCTGGCTACCATCATGCAATTCACTATCGTTAAGAATCGAACTCAGAACGAGCCATGTGAAATTCGAGCTTCAAATCGTCTTCAACCATTGGGCTTCCTCATGATGGTTTATTGTTTAAAGTGAATTGAGTATCACTTTAGCAACAACCTTATTTATGTGGTATTTTAACTAAGTGACATATATATGGTCTCTTATTAACTTTAAAGTTTGATCCGTAATAGTAATAGATTTAGAGCATTTTTTCTGTCATGTAGAAAGACATGACATCTTAAAAAAAAACTTCACTTTTATTATGTTAACTTTAACACTAGTTGTATTTGAAATTGGTACAAGGTGGATTACCTTACAATAAAAACTTTGAAACCAATTGTACTGACTAGTTAAACATACTAGTCAAGTGAGTACAGATTGTTAAGTGCTCACAAGTATATAAACCAAGCAAACTTATAATGCTAAAACAATGCAGTGTGATCTTCAGTTATGTTTTAAACTTAATTCTTGAGTTATGTTTACTTGGTTAACAAAGTGTCAATACTAGCAAACCCTACAATGTTTACCTCTAATGGTTATTTGGCCAAAAAAACTCACCTCTTGGTTAAAAAACCAAGGACTCTCCATTGAGTCCAATCCACTAGTGTAAACAAAGTTCATACAAAGACCACACTAGCTCAATTCCTAAATCCCTATCTACAGAGAAGCTTTACCTTCGTATAACCTTGTCTTACACAAGATGAATTCTTTCGGTCCACGAGATGGCAGCTCCTCCTGAGCTCTTCACCTTGTAGCACCGAGATCAACACGATCAAAGATATGATGTTATAATATGCTTATGAATTAAGAACTCAAATGACCAGTCAGGTTCTCCAATCAAACAGTTAAAGAAGAACCTAACATGAATCCAAAAAATCGGTCTATGAAGGATATGAAACATAGGTTTAGACCAATAACTTAATACAAAACCATGAATATAATGCAACCCTAATATGCAATGATTGGGTGTTTGTGCATGAGATGGCTTTGTGGCTAGGGTTTCGGTTTGGAAGCTTAGGAGGTAGCTCTAGGCTAAATGCACTATTTTTCTTGAAACGTGAATAACCTAGCCAACTACAAATGAAACTTTGGAACCTCTTTTAATGAAAGAGTTGGATGTTTCAGACAAGAGGAACCAGGGGACACAAGGTGAGAAATCCACGAATGGGAAAGGGTGTCAGATGACCCATGTGGGCTGTCTTAATTTGCGTGCCTAAATAGTTGGACAACAAAAGGAATTTCTAATTAGACAACTACACTAAACAAAAAAAATCTGAAAAAAAATAAGCTTGATATGCATATGCAAATGTATGGTTCAAACCTTTTGCAGTGAAGAGGGCTAGTGTTTTTGACAAGTTCAATCCAGTAGTAATCTCAGATTAGCATTGTACTCTAACTCTAAATTATGAGTATGTGTGGTAACATTTACAAATTTTAGCAAGGGAAGCCAAACGATAAACCTAATACTCTACAATATTTATTAACCTAGTCTATTAGGGTTTAGATTTTAAAACCAACACTTGAAGCTTAGACTTTAAATTTCGAGTCTCAATCCTGTCAATAGTTAAAGTCAGGGAAATGAGTAAAAATGAAATTTTATCCATAAATTGATGACATTACGTGAGTCACAAGTTGATAAATACGTAAACCCAATTGTGGCGAAACTTTATATCACCGATTTACCACCAAACTTAAATTCTCCTTGATCTTTAAAAAAGAAAAAAAATATATAAAACTCTCCTTTTTGTTTGGGATATTTGTTTCTTGTTGTAAAAATAACATGGAGTTGTTTCTGCTAGGGGAGTCATGGCGGTTGATTTTGTCAACCACCTGAAGAGTGACAAACTGATACACGGTTTCGGATTCTCTCTCCTCATATTTCTTTACCCTTCTATTTGAACGCTCAAGATTATGTCATGTCAACATGGTTGAATCCCTCAAGTGTTTAATTATGCCCGTTAAGGCTGCAAAAATGTTGTGAATTGCATATTGGAAATGCTTTGAACGGCTCTGAGAAAGAAGAGGATAGGAGAGCAGAGAAATAGAAGGGCAAAGAATCTGAATCCTACCTGAGATCAGGTTAATGTTGATTCTAATCATGTTGGCACCACATTATTATACTTATCCTTATTCCTTGTAATTTATTTTGAACATTATTTATAGAAAAATTTGAACAAACTTGTTGGAACCCTCATTTGTCCCACATCGGACAGAGGAAGAAGAGAAGAGTACTTTATATAGATTTACCCTACTCTAACTAACACTGAGGCCTTTTGTGATAAAACCCCACACTTGAGGATTGTGCAGGTAGTTAAGTAGGGACAATATCAGTGTTGTTGGAGTAGGCCCTCGGCCCGTCGACCTGAAAATTCCACATGGTATTAGAGCCAGGAGGCGGGCCGTACAGCCACATGATTGGGTGGGTCCCCTTTGGCCCCTCGCGATGTCCACGTAGACCAATGATGCCACGTGATTGGGTGGGTTCCCGTTTGGCCCCACACGATGGGTGAGCCCCCACTGGCTCCACGTGGTTGCCAATGTGGATTTCCTCGTGTCACCCATAAAAATGGGGTCTCACGTGCGGGGAAGTGTTGAAACCCTCATTTGTCCCACATCGGACAGAGGGAGAAAAGAAGAGTACTTGATATAGATTTACCCCACTCTAACTAACACTGAGGCCTTTTGTGATAAAACCCCACACTTGAGGATTGTGCAGGTAGTTAAGTGGGAACAATATCGGTGTTGTTGAAGTGGGCTTAAAGAATAGTACTTTATATAGATTTACCTCACTCTAACTAACACTTAGACCTTTTGTGATAAAACCCCACACTTGAGAATTGTGCAAGTAGTTAAGTGGGAACAATATCGATGTTGTTAAAGTGGGCCCTCAACCTATCGACTTGAAAAATTCCACAAAACTAAACTCATAACGCACGAAAGTTATTTAAGAAAGGAAAAGAATCAAATCTCAGTCTTGACCTTGAATACTTGAGCTAAGTCTTAAGACCTCTAGGCAAGAAGGTCGTTGAAAATTATCTTGGAAAATGATTTTTTTTTTTCTCTTTATACACACTTTTGTTCACTTGTCTCTTAATTTTTTCGTTTAATTTATTTCAATTCAAATTTCAGAAATAAACGTCACTTAATACTATAATCTAGTGGTATTTCTCTTCACTTGTAAGTTGTAAGTGAGAGATCTTAGATTCGATTCTCTCCAAAAGTGAGTTTGAACCACATTATTACTAGTCCATTGTGAGGCTAAGTTCACTACCTCCCCTTTAGTATAGATAATATCGTTTGTTAAAAAATATCATAAATAAACAAAAATATATACCCGAATAGAATATAAAAATGTGGGAATATCATCTCCCTTCGTTTGTGGCCAACGATATAATAGATCATCAAAGCTTGTAAGTAGGTTGCATGCCGAATCTTACAAGTTGTAATTGTGAAGATTGGGTCTTTTAAGTCGACTGTGGTATTATCCTTTAAAGATTATTTCTCATCCAAATCCCAATACAAATATTTGCACGTTGATTTGGAGCTTCCTCAAACATATCCCTTTAAATTCAAATGGTGGGCAAATAAAACAACGGGCAACTTCGGTTGTTTTGGATTATAGTCCGAGGGCCCATTTTATTATGCATTTGCGAGGCTCACTCAGATCAACTTCAATAAGATATACACAAAAATCAAAGGAATTAAAAGAGTCTAATAAAGAAAAAAAAATTGGAGATTTCATTCAACAGAAAGCCGGTGATGATGCGACAAGCCACAGGGTTACGAATACAGTGACATAACCGACCGTCTACATATGCTACAATCCCAGACAAAACAAACTTCCCCACTCCCCATTTGAGGCCGGCGACAAACTTGGGCGGTTGGCTTGCTGGGACAACTGCAGCAGCATTGGCATCTTTCGATTTCCATTTGAAGTTGGAGATGAACTTGCTTGCTTCCTCAGCAACCGTATGGCGAAGCTCACAAGCAGGTGCTCACACAATGTCAGCACCGTTGGTCTTAGCCTACATTCCTGTTGTAAAGTTTCTCGTTAGTTACTTGTAATGGTTGATGGGTGAAATGCAGAAGGTGAAGGTATTGCATGACAGTAATCACAATAATGCATGCATATTTTCTCTTACAAAAAAACTGTTGGCATTAAAGGGAAAATTCATGCAGAACACAAATGAGCAAAATAGGTTTTAGTTCATATCAGGTTGTTAAATGTCCCACATCGGTGGGTTCAAAGAAACCCAGGGTTTAAATAGAATTACCCTGCTCTAACTAATACCGAGGTCTTTTGTGGTAAAACCCCACACCTAACGGATTGGGCAGGTGGTAAAGTTGGGGACAATATCGGTGTCATTAGAGTGAGGCAGGTCCGGTGATCCAAAAATCCAACATGGTATTAGAGCCACGGTGCGGGCCCGTGCAATCAATGAGTTTGTCACCCATAAGGAAACAAGTCTGAACTCTTAATATAGAGACGACCGCTGAGTTCCATTGAAAACAAGTGGGCCCAATGTGAGCCAACATCTGAGTTTCAATTACCTATGTGGATCTTCACATGCGAACCACTAAATGAGGTTACACATGAAGGGGAGTGTTAAATGTCCCACATCAATGGGTTTTTAAATAGAATTACCCTACTCTAACTAATTCCAATGCCTTTTGTGGTAAAACCCCACACCTAACAGATTTGGCAGGTGGTAAAGTTGGGGACAGTATTGGTGTCGTCAGAGTGGGGCAGGCCCGACGATCCAAAAATCCAACAAGGATTATTAATGCTTCTTCCATTACTAAAAAAGTCAAGGTATGAAGTGTTTTAAAAAATGAGCCTCGGGGTACGCCTAGGCAGCTTTGACAACGAAGCAGTGATGGAAACGCCTCTGCCTAGTGGGAGAAGACTTAAACTCACCTAAACGTGGTCGAGGCACGCTTGAGGTGTTTTACTGGGCGTTCCCAGGACCCTTTATCGATCCGAATCTTACTTGAAATTTCCAATAACCCTCGAAGTTAAAGGCTGTGTGGCTTTGTATTTGCTGCGGCAACGTCTTCATGAAGAAGACAATAGTGAAGAATAAAGTTAGGGTTTTAATTTCTTTTAAAGATTTTGGCCCAAAACAACATCGTTTTGGCCAAATCTAATTTTTTTTTTTTTAAAAAAAAAAAACCTAGCAAGCCCCCTTCTTCCCCATTCAAATACCCGATTCTCTCATTCAAATTCTTCCCTTCTTCCCCAGCAAGTCCTTCCTGTGAGGCTTAGCCTCACACCTCAAAACTTTCACCTAGACGAGGTTATCCATGAAACACCTCACCTACGTCTTCGCCTTTTAAAACAATGGAACAAATAAAACAACAATTTCGTCAACAGATTCGGAACATCTTCTGTTATAGGCCGAGATACTATCGTTCCACATGGATTAACTTGAACTAGAGAAGTTACATATCTCAGTATCCCTGTGGAACAATAAAAAGTAAAAAATAAAAAATAAAAAATAATAAAAAATAAAAAATAAAAATAAATAAAAAAAGGATTATGAGCCATTTGTGTTTGGTAACAAGAAAACATGGGTAAGTGTGAGCACAAAGTCAGTCCGTTTAAAAAAAAAAGAAATGTTGTGGAGGAAGGGGTCCACTTACATTGTCACTTTAAAAACGACTCAGAGCTAGTTTGGATATGCTTTTAAAATGACTGAAAGTGTTTAAGCACTTTTAGTTTTTTTAAAGCACATCCAAACGAAACTCAATGGGCAAGATGTTGCTGAATGATCTACTTTTAGCAATGCCATGCTCACAAGAAACCCCTTTCACCCATTCAATAATCTCCTCTATAAGGGAACTGTTGGGGGTAGGTTTTTGAGGTAAACCTAAACACACACATAAAACTGTTACAATCTCAATCAAAAGATTTTCTAGCAATGAACATGGCCCAAATTTAAGAAAATTTATGTCAGATTTTCCATTAGACGTGCTTTCTGTTGCTAGCCGATGTGCTCATCATAATAACGGGCTTGAATCATGCTAGTTTCGAACGTTTGGTTATCGACCGAATGACCTACAACCAACTTGTCGTCTCAAAAGATCAAAACCTGATAGAGGGATGACGGGAAGCAAATAGTCTGATGAATAAAGTCATGGCCGAGCAAGGAAATATGCTCAGTCTTCGAAGACATGTGAAGTTAACTAGTAATCATGACTTTCAAAGGTAGAAGCCTTTGGTTTGTGACTTATCTCCCACGAAATTGCTCATAGTGATGCCGGATGGTATGATTTCATCTTTTAAGTGTGTAAAGGCCTTCATGACCGATACTGGCATAATATTCACTGTCGCCTTATAACCCACAAACACCTTGGAAATTGGGAAACCTTCATTATGTGTGGTGACGTATAGGGGCTTTAAATGGTGTAGGTTGGTGGCCAAGCTTCGAGACAAAATCTCAGATCGAGTAGCTTTGAGTTTCTCTTCTGGATTAATTTTCTCAAGTTCTTCAGCCGTGGCCAAAATAAACTTGTGTTAGTTCTTCACCGTCACATCCCCTTTTAGGAAATTCGGTTGGTGAGTTGCTGACTGGAATTCGAGAGGGATGACATAGACCATATTAATCTCCATGTTGTCTAAGACTAAGGGCTGAAGACAGATGTCTCTTGATTATTGGTTACTGTGTAATCAATGCCACATCAGCCTAAGTTGTTATAATGTTTGTTAGGTGGTTAAATGATTTGTTAGTTGGTTAATTAGTTACTTGTGGTTAAGTAAGCTTGTATTGTTTAGTATATAATGTACTTCCACTTACAAATGTTGTGAGTTGTCATTTTCCTCAAATATATAAAACTTTCTCTCTCTCCCTAAACTCTCTGTGTTCTTCCTTTTACTCATCCTTTCTTCTTGATTTTCCCTTCAATTCTCAAACACTACAATGTAGTTAACAAGGGCCCCATCACAGTACTTCATTCTTCGTCAATGAACCGTCTTCAATACCGGATCCCTTGTCTTCGTCGAATTCACCAGTGCCTGTGATGGCCGTAGTATCTATGATTTTAGGTATGGCCGAACTCTCTGAGAATCATCTTCGAGTGTCACATCAACCGTAGGCTCAATGCCTATATTATCAATGGGCGAATCAAGGATGACATGTTTGCATGTTAAATTATGGGTAGGTTTAACTACTACAGAATGAGCTTCCTTATAGGCTTGGCCTAAGAAAGCGATCTTATCATTTTGAATGCATGTTGCGCTTAAGGTTCTAAAAAACGCTAAACGCTAATCGAGCGGTAGGTTGGAGCATAGAGCCTAGGCAGCTAGGCGGGGCTAGGCAAGCGCTTAGGCGGTTTAGGCGAATTTAAGTTAATTTATTGTATATTTTATAAATAAGTGTCTATTTGCACTTCAAAAAATATATAGTTGTATTGAGAACAAAATAATAATAAATTGCAAAATAAAAGTAAAAGAAAACATATATTAGAATATATAAATTACAAGTATCCAACAAGTTTATAGTTTAAAAACACATTAACTATAATCATATATTATTTTAGGCCAAAAAATCAGCATATTATTATTATACACAAAAGGCTGGAGCCCAATATGTTCCCTAGTCCCACCAAAACCCTATTTACTTTTGCATTCTCCATTTCTCCTATTTCCTTCGTCAGTCGCCGCTTTTGGAAAACTCGAAGAATAAAAAATGGTCAGATGCATCAAAAACCCAAAGAAAGCCAAAACAAGGGCCAAGGTTAGCTCCAAATTCCACTACCTTCCCTGTTGATTGTTTAATTATTTTAATAAAGTTAGGCTTTTGTCTTAAATTTTTGTTTAAGGCTCAAAGAAAATAGGTGGATCTCATTCCTCTTCATGACCATTGATGCCCGTGAAGGTATGGCAACAGCTTAGTGGGCCGCATAGCACTACCTAGGCGTCTAGATCGCTAAGCGGCCACCTAGGCTCTCACTTAAGCCTTCACCGAATTTCCCTTACATTTTGCTCCAATCACCTTGGAAGCCCAGCTCCTAGTGCCTAGGCGGTCGCCTATGCCGCTTTTTAGAACACTGGTTGCACCAAACCTTGATTAACGGGTCCTATAATGTAAGTGGAGGAAAAGCTTGTTCGGCCTCTTTAGCAAAATGCTCTATTCGAGGCTTCATTTCTCCAAGCCAAAGTAACAACTTGATCATCTTATTAGATTCTTCTATTTTAGTTTTGATGTTGGCACTTTTGGCTTTTTTCCCTTTGGTGATCTCAGCCAGGATTACAGTGACTTGTTCTACCAAGTTTTCTTATATCTACTCTTTAGGCTGCCAAGTTTAAACCGTCTAGAGAGCTTTAGTAGCCTAAGCATGGTGCAAAACGTTACATCCGTTGCATTGTCGCCTACGCTTTTGAGATTTTAACTCAACCATATAAGCATCAGCATGCAAGTTATACCCATGTCATTGACTATTCTTTGACTTTGATGGCTTAAAAGTCTTTGTTGCCGATGATGCACTAAAACTACCATAATTATGAGTAAATACTCCTCATCGTAAAATGGCTCATCGAAATTAAGCCGCCCTCAAACTAGAGGCTGTTGGTATACTGACCTGGAGCCCAATTTGTCGAATACTCAGTCTAGCCTTGTTTTGGGGCTTGGCTAGCTGAATGTGGACCAGAGAACGAGTTTGTCCTTATTGCTTCTTGTGGTGCGCCCAAATATAGGGTTTTTCGACCGAGTGATTCAGTTTTAGCCCTGTGATGGTGACCTTAGATTTGCATCAGCTACACAATATAATTGTTTCTCAAAGTCGCTAGAAATTGACTCTTGTTGGTGAAATGAGTTAGGTAGGGGCGATATGAGGTTTTAAAGTGGTCATATTTTCATATATTATTATCATACATTTCCTTTGGATTTTGTATATATAAGAATGGGTTAAATGCACTAAATTTTATTGTTTTATTTTATAGGCATCAATACCGGAGTTATGCAAAAAAAGAGTGGAAAACAAGTTTTTTGGGTGTCTAGAGTAATTCCAATGGAACAAGAGTCAACTTCTGTATCAAGACAAATGCATTACAACAAGAAGATAAGAGACATCCGTTTTAGAAATCAAATAGACATGGGGATGCTATTAAATGGCCTTAGGAGAGAACTTAATTACTAGTTTTATTATTTCCGTTATTTTTTCTTTTATTTAATAAGAACTTAAAGTGCATTAGTGAGAATGTTAGTGGGTTGTTAATTAGAATTTAGCAGGATTTATGATTATTGAGTGTTATATTAAGGAGATTCATTCTCCATTTGATTAGGAGCAAGCCACCAAAAACCACGAAGCAAAATTCACATAGGTTGCGTCAAGGAAGGACAAGAGGAAGAGCTACTTCGGAGTTTTTCTTTGTTAGGGCTACGATGTAGCCTGATCATGAATATTTAATTGCCTTGTGGTATTGTTAGTATCAAGTATTTATTCCATATTGAGTATCTTTTGCTATTCGTAATGCACTTGATTTTTAATTTAGATGCTTGATCACCATCTAGGTTTTAGAGTAGATTCCATACTTAACTTGGGTTTAGCTTCTTGCATTTGATACCATAAACACCTATTTGTAGATGCCATGCAATTAGGGTTTATGTGATTTTCCAACGGTTTCCATAGAGCTTAACGGGTGCTTACTTGCTTAAATTCATCTAAATGTGAGGGTTAACATGTAAGGATATTTTTGATGAAGCAGTTGCCATGGCCGTTGAATAATTTAGGGAAAATCAATCATCAATATTGGGGAACTACTTGAGCATAACATATTAAGGAAATTAAGTATAATTGGTTATGGTGAATTTGGATGCCCTAGGTCTTATTTTCTTATGTTTCAATTTATACTTTACATGCATATTATTTTCAAGCTTTATTTTATTTCAGTTTAATTCAAAATATCATGTATTTTCCATTAAAGCTTGTACATTACAATTTGTTTCAATTTAGTTTTCAAGAATTTTTATAATAAATTTGATCTATGTGGGAGGATATATGTGCTTCAATGCTATACTATTATCCGATTTGTATACTTGCGAGCACTAAAATTGTGGATATGGTTCGGCCATCAGAATGTGGACTCTGAAATGCACTTGTGAATATCCAATCATAAAATGAATTCGGTTTTTAACTTACCGAACACTGTAATATGGTGACATCCTAACTCACCGAGAGGCTAATGAGATGACCTATTTCAACGATGACTGAAATACACCTTATTGACAGAGACTTGGATAAATAACCAACCAAATTCGAAGTAGTGCTATTACTCCAAACTGAAGGTGCTCCAAAAAATTTAAAGCCAAAACGGGGTGGGTTCACAAAATTAATGGGGTGGGAAAAGTCCAAAAGTTTAAGGAAATGGGCCCTTAGCCTGAATCATGCGATGGAACAAGTCTGCAAATCTCTCAAATCATACTTGACCCAACCAAATCTATCTCTCTCTTGTCAGTCATAAACATAAACCCACCATTCTTCTCTCAAAGCCCAAACCCCCAAAATCCACCTTCAAAATTTAATAAAGCTTGAAGCTTTCACTCTCACAGGCATCGAGAAAGAAAGGTATTGAAAACCTATATGGATTCAGATCTGGAAAGCTTTTTATTGGTAGGATTTAATGGTAGACCTTAGAGAAAAAGCTTATGAGTGCTTCAACACTACGCGGACATTTTGCAGACGGTGGTCATGAGGGATAAGGTCTTTGGCCGCCCCAGAGGTTTTGGGTTTGGGGTTTTGGTAAATCATGTTGTTCTCGATAGGGTCTTTCAATATAAGAACACCGTTGATGGTAGAACGGTGAGATTCAAATTCTCAGTATTTTTATTTTTTCGATGGTAGAACGGTTTGTGGTTTCAGTACAAGGAGAAAATGGTTGGAGACTTGAAATAACAACTTGAGACTCTACAGAAGTCGGGCATAGTAGAGGAAGAGTTTGCTGCATAAAAGGAGAATTTCTTTGTAAAAGAACTTGTGGACCCATAGGAATCAACCCGTTTCATACGGGTCTGGTTAAGTCTAGTTCCATCTTTAAATTTTTATTACCCGATCCAACCTGCCCTATCACATCCTGACCCAGGCTCCACCACATCGACTCTGCCGTAGCACGATATTGTCCGCTTTGGGCCCCGACCACGCCCTCAAGGTTTTGTTTCTAGGAACTCATGCGAGCGGAACTTCCCAGTGGGTCACCCGTCCCGGGAATGCTCTGGCCCTTTTCTCGTTTAACTTCATAGTTCTTACGGAACTCGAAGTCAGTGAGCTCCAAAAAAGCCTCAAGCTATATGTAGGTGGACATGTACATATAAGGCACATCACCCTCTCTCCGTTGGTCGATGTGGGATGTTACAATTCACCCCCCTTAGGGACCTGACGTCTTCGTATGCGCACTTGCACCACACGGAAAGTGACTCTGATACCAAATTGTCACATCCCGGATCGGCTCCATCACACCCCAGGCTTGACTCTACCATAGCACGATATTGTCCGCTTTGGGCCCCGACCACGCCTTCACGGTTTTGTTTCTAGGAACTCACGCGAGCAGAACTTCCCAGTGGGTCACCCATCCTAAGAATGATCTGGCCTATTTCTTGCTTAACTTAGGAATTCCTATGGAATCTGAAGCCAGTGAGCTCCCAAAATGCTTATGCTATATGGAGGTGGGCATGTACATATAAAGCATATCACCCCCTCTCCGTTAGTCGATGTGGGATGTTACACGCCCCGTGTTATTTTCAAGTGGGTCGAGTCCGGTTCCTATAATTTAGGCTCGGCCCAGCCCGTGGCCACCTCTAGTGCTCACCGATTACCTAATTTTACAACTCTAGTGTTATTAATCCAAATTGAAGACCTCGCCAGTTGTCAACACATTGTTGTTAATCCAACTTGAAGATGCATTGATGAAGTTAGGAAGGTTAGTTTTTTTCTTAAAAGGTTTGAGAGGGTTTCGCATAGAATGAGAATTTGTGCAAGGCAATTTTATGTGTTGGGTTGAAAGTCCTTGGAATGTTACATAATCTCTTCTATTTATAAGAGTGACTTTCGTGCTGATCAATTTATACTGAGTAGTAGAGTCCATCTTGGATTATACTTCTCTTAGCATTCCCTGATCCAAACTCTTATCAAGCTATCCTGATCTGCCCATAGAGCCAGGCCACTACTACTAGATCTAGGTATCTGAACTCAATCATTTTTCTGTTTTCAATCCACTCTTGGACTTGATCAGTTATGAACCTTGATATTGGAATATTACGAATCACATCAATGTTTACTCTGATCCTTTAACAATTTTACTCATATTATGACTCAGTCAAATCATTTCAACCTGACTCCTTAAGAGTCCTTCACCCATTAGGATTCGGCCATCCTATATTGGGTTGGACTTCAAGTTTCAGAAATATAAGACATGGGCTGAAAATCTTCGCTCTTTGTCAAGTCCAGCCTATAGTTACATTTGGCTCAAACCAATTATTTTTGGTCCAAACTAAAGCATATACCACATAACAACATAAGATAATATTGGTTAAGGAATTGTTATTGGGACTCCAAAAATCTCATTTCGCACTCCAAACTTTCTATAATTAGAAGGAAAAATATACTTGTGAGAAGTGTAGAATGAGATTTTTGGAGTGCTAATAACAGTTCCCTATTGGTTATTCAATTGTTTCAGTGAATAATGTAAATGTTCCTATTCATCTATACTACTCATCTTGAAGCTAGTGTAATGCACTTTTTTTTTTTAAACTATATGTAAAAACTAACTCTTGGAGTGCAAGTCAAGTTTACAACATGACACAAATTAAATCTACTCTTGTAGACTACAATACACTTTCTATATTTACTATAGGCTTATTTGTAGCTACGCCTCTCTTGGAACTTGACTTTAATCTCATTTTGCTCCCTGTAACTCAAAAATCACCATTTTACTCCCTGAAACTCAAAGTTCGCTCCACTTTTCCCTATGAAACTCAATTTTAATCGCATTTTGCCCTTTGAAACTTGAAAGTTGTATCTATAAAACTTGAAAGTTGTATCTATAAAACTCAAAATACATTGCGTTAGATCTGTTAATTTCTTATGTGAGTTTGATTTTGGGTACGCCAGGCTAATCAATTTCTTTTTATTTTTTTTAATTTCTTCAATTTCTTTAAAACTTAATATTCTCTTGTTATTGAATGTTAAAGCATAATAAAAATTTATAATCAAATTTATTGCACATGTAGCATAGTCTTATTGGGTGTTGAGTTCCACATATGTTTCTAGAGGCCATCTATAAGTTTCAGGGAGAAGAGACAGTCCACTGGTCAAAGTGAAATAAATTTTGAGTTTCAGGAGTAAAATGTTGATTTTTGAGTTACAGTGAGTTACAGTGAGTAAATTGAGATCAAAATAAAGTTTCAAGGGAAAACCTAAAGATAAATTTTTACTATATATAGGGGCATATGCGTGACATCATTTTTTTTACACAACTTTTAATGCACATTTTTGTGGAATTCATTTTGTGATGTATTTTAATGATTTGAATCGTCTATCCTTTAGAACATTATTTATATATCATCATTGCAAAAAAATTAGACAAACCTTAAACCAACGATCATATGATTTCATATTTGAATTTTGGTAGACATGATCTTCTAGGAAAGACCTAAAAGATAAACTGTTCATATCGTTAAAATACATTATGAAGTGGTCGCATAAAAATGTATGCCAAAATTGTGTAAAAAAAATGATGCCACAAATCCAATCCATAGGTTACAGTGATGGCACGAATCCGATCTATAGGTTCGCGACTTGATCTATTGAAATACAACCAACTTTTTATCAGTTCAAACTTTTAGTTAAAATTTAACGTCTGAATCAACTTATTTACCTCTGAAACAAATCGTTTACTTCCTACTTGCAACATATGCTCTCCTATTTTTTATCCACACATCCTTACCACAATCATCACACAACCACCAACGACCAATTTTGGTCCAATTGACTAAGTCATGATCCAACTTATAGCTTTCACCATTTTCATCGTAACCGCACTCTTTCCCGTAATAAATCCATTTATATTGGCGGGTAAATCCGCTGCGACGTCACATGATTGGCCAGCCCATCATCCACAATGGCTGCCAAAGAAAATCTAATTTTATTGTATTTTTTACTAAAAAGTTAAAAAAGGTAAAATCCCAGCCTGTTACTGCTTTTCAAAGCTTTCGGCTTCCTTCACACCTGGTTTTTCCTCTTTTATTCCATTTATTTGTTCTCCATTATATGTAAACCATGAAAGGCTCGACGAGAGGCAACCGCATATTCTCCGAGGAGAACAGCACTCGTGGCCAAAAGTTTGACAGGTTAAAGAACTCCCCGGAACACGAAGACTCGGGTTTTACGACCCCCCTCAGCTACGAGCCAGACTCGATGGTGGCGGAGGACGCCGCTTTGTCTCCTTTCAATAAGTCTCCATGGTCTGCCCATATGAAC